CAAGTTATTTCGAAACAGTGGAATGAAATGTAAATTGGAATAATTATATATCTATTAAAATCATGTTTACTTCACTTCAGATCTTGGGTTTTTTCATCTCGCAAAACACGTCCGAATTTGATACAATTGCATTATTATAACATAAACAACCAACATAATCTTAAAGACGCTGGTCAGTATGTTGCAAGAGTCGATACTGTGGATAATTCAAATAGGGACACTCGGCAGTATGAAATCAAAACGTTTGAAAGGGGAATGAAACAAAGTTATAAGAACTACTTTAATATATGAAACGAGTATTGCCAAGGGTGCTAAATTATGACTTAGTTTTGGATTTAATGAAAGGATAAATGCCGAATCCCGACGATGAAATAAAATTGACCGCATTATTGTAATATTCCCATTCCATATCATTCATCACTAACGATTGACTGAGTAAAAAAAATGAATATGAGGATTATGCACTTTAAGGTGAACAATGTCTCACTATCTGTAGTATCTGATGTTCTGTATGTTTTCTTACCAGCAGCCAAATTCATGTTCAGATGCTATAGTTCTGTTAATCCTCAATATTACGGACAGGCACGCGTAATTTCTGACGAATACAAAAAATAATTTTGTGTAATTTGGATAATTTTGTTGTTCAAGATATTCAGAATTGTCCAACCAGCTATATATATATATATACATATTTTTGACATTTCATACCTATACTGTGTCCGGTGCTATATGGCCAGTTTTGGTGTTGATTCTCCAAAGCAACGTATATTCATTTATGTAGACACTATCAAAGTCGATAGATTTACGACATTTCAAAATATCCGGAACAAGACTTAAGGATCCATTTTAGTCGACAACTAGCCTACAAATTCGAAAGTGTTAAATATAGTTACGTGTTTATTTTATGAAACCAATTTAACTGTCTTGCGTAGAAATAATACATAAAATATCACTTCAAACCGAGGTGTGTAAGGAACATTACATACATTATTTAAAATTTGATACCACTGCCACCACACCCATTAAGTTGTTTGTGTGCATCCTGCCATACAAAATTAAACATGTACTTAAGATAGAACACCCTTTTCTAACAATAAAGCTGATTGTAATATAATCACAAAGCAATTGTATAAAAATGTGAAATTTTATTCTTAAAAATCGTAAAAATAATAACCTTGTCAAACAACATTTCTGCACACAATCATTCTTTATCATCTAAAAAGCTTTAAACATCATGAAAAGCCTTTCTTCATACGCCTACATTGCAGATAAGCTTTGGTAAAAGCCTGCAGAATCAGTAGGGATAGGAAACAAGACTTGCATACTTATAGCCCAAAGGAAAGTTTTTAATTAAATCCCTGGGCATGGTGTACTTTTTCTCATTGCAAGATGTTTGTCTCAAGACATTCTCGATTCCGTGGCGATTTTAACGACGATTGTTGGCGACAATGGTGCCCACCGTAAGGTATCTGATGTTACCTACAAGCTTCTACCACGCATATGGCAACCTCAACATACTGTGAGCTAATTCACTGTCGCCGTAGCTCAGTTGTAAGAACGTCTATCGGGTGTGACGGCGGGGCTATAAGTGAACTACTGTAGATCAGTGAAATTTTTTCTGATAATCGCCAAATTTAATACGGATACTTTGGAATGGGATCTTATGGAGTTGTTTCGATGTCAATATTAATTTCCTTGACGAAATGTTCAAAGGTATATTGGTAATTTTGAGATTGATTTGTAAATGTTCATTACAAGTTCAATTGTCACTTTGTCGTTTTGCAAGGAAATAAATATTGAAATCGAAAAAACTCCATAAGATCTTACTTGTCAATCGCACCAAATCTGCACTGTACATCGAAATTGATGTAACAATCAATAAAAAGTTAAGTTCGAATAGAGTACTTTTACGTGGATGAGGATTTGTACTAATTACCTTACTGATACAAACTGATCATGAACAATTCACCGAAAATGTTATGTTCAGTGTAAGCATGAGAATTCGAACTCATAGCTTAAAATTACCGAAACAATATTGTTACAGCCCGTTCTAAACAACAACACACAACCTAAATGTAAATAATATATTGATGTTTGTCGAATGAGCAAACGATGGCACTGATCAAATTGACATTTGTCAAGAATAGATAGATAGGTATCATCATTGCCAAAAAATCAAAAGTATTAGTCAGATATTAAAGCCAGTTAAGTAAGGAAGGAGTACAGACTGATCTATATCCACGTTACGGATTCGCATGGCATTGACAATTATTTATGCATTGCAACGAAACTTGATAGTAAATTACTAATTTGATGGTGATACATCGATCTTGATGTAGGCTGTCGTAAGTGTATGTTACTCTGCTTGTCATGCTATCGGTAAAACTCTTTTGTATTTTCAATAACACTTGTCGGTTTTGTTACGATATGCATGGACAACTCCAAATTAGAGAACATGTACATCTTCCTTCAACGCCCAGAAAACTGTATTTTCTTCCTGGTTTACATTAATATACTTTTATAGCAACTTATAATATTGTAAAATATTGTCAGTATAGCTGGATGTGTAACATGAATACTTTATCTGTGATAGTATATGGAATTTTATTGTGGAGACTGTTTCTGCCAGTCACCGGGCGGTAAGGAACTTTATGTATCTTTCTTACGTTAATATTCTCATCATTGTTCATATCTTTCGTTGAGACGCTCTGAACTAACATACGTACTGAGAGAAGTTTCTCTTACTGACGAGAAGGTACCATAATGGTGTACAATGTATTATACACAACAGGGTGTATTTCTCACAACAACTATCTTTTGGAAAACATCGTTGAATCTCCGAAAAGGATACCGCGCTGACAAATGCAACGCAAAATGGCAAAAATTTTTGAGGAATACCGCGCCCATTCACTCCAGCAACAGAACGGAACTTAGCGGAGCTATAATTCAAAAAACACAATTTCACCCCAGCTATGCAACCAAGCCGATCTTAATTTAGCTCGCCTCGCGTGACCTAGTGACGTCATAGATGAAAAATAAGACAAGTTGCCCAGTTGATTCCATGGCAAATAGTGCCGTTAAACCCATCAGTGGCTGATGAATCGCTCAATTTCTAAAAGGTAATGCCTGGATTTTTGAAGCAAGGATCACCACCGACAGCAGCTATTCGGATGACGATGATAAAGCAAATAGGCAAGACTTCGGTAACAAAATAGCCGGACACTTGAAGGTGTTGTTGACACAACAACGTCAACACGAGCGAACAGTCAGTTACATCAGACATTTGAATAAATATAAGCATGAGACTTTGAAGTCAAATTAACGAATTTAATTCTAATGAATAAAATAATTTTTATCAACTTTTACTCCCATTCATGACAACACTAGGACTTTACAATCTAAAACTCAGAAAACTGATAATTCTGACATGATTGTACCGATGATGATGGCGATGCGATGTGAATGAAATAATCACGTCGTCTCTGAATAAAAATGAATACACCTATATATAACTGTAAAATGAACAAATCCCGACATTGACGTCAATTTAATCCAGATGAACAATCAATTTTAATAAGTTTTAATGCAAAAGCAGGAGTAAATATAAAAGTATCCCAAAAGTAGCCAACTTTGTCTCAAACAACAAATCCCTCATTTCCTCCGGTACCCAAGCTGTTGGATCTGTAGTAAAAGCAGGAGTAAATATAAGCGATGCAGTGAAACGATCTAACTAGTTGAAAGAATTACAACATATAATAGAAATGCGAAATACAAGATAAGAAAACAAAAAAGGCAATGGTTTTAAAATTATTGGATAAAAATATCAATTTTGTTTTGTTCCAGACACAAGTTTAATAGATGCCAACCAACATTGCTTATCACGTAGAACAATTAAACCATAACAGGCAATTGAAGGATATATTGTTAACTGAAGGATACCAAGAGGATAAGAATTTTCATATAGAAAAATTTGAAGAACTTAGTAAAAAGCCTAAAAATCTAACATTTAGTGAAAGTCTTACTCACAATGATGGTTTGTTAAAAGAACTTAAAGCCCATCTACATGATATAGAAATTCTCATGACAATAGAACCTTATGACCATCGACAAACTGGGGATGAAGATGTCAAAAATATTGAGATCAACTGCGATTGATTTTTAAAACAAGCTGCCTCCCGCTCCATTAAAGAATATTTTACTTTTGGATTATGGTTACAGAAATTATATATCTTAAATCACGGGAATTTCGAATCAATTTAGAAAAATGAGTTAACAATATCAGTAAGTTGGAGTAGAAAATTACGTAAACTTGCCAAACTCTGTGATAAATATCCGAGATTTCAAAATTTAACAATTTCAATTTCAAAATTATTGACGCAGATTTTAAAAATAGAACGAGAATTAGAAAGAACAAGTACTGAAGAACAAGTGTTTTGGGAAAGGATATAATATGTGACGTATATCTACCGATTCTCTAGGAGTGGTCATGACCTTAAAGTATATCTACCAGTATATCCTAGTAGAAGTGTATATCAATATACATGTAATTGTTTATGTTTTAAATTTCCTTGTATTTATTAAAACTACTTTGGTTTTTTTTGTTATTCTTCCTACATTTCCATGGGGGTAAATGGTTTCAAATAATAGGGTAACCTATCTTTAAAAATGGCACGAAAAAATTTCAGATTAGATTTTTCAATTATATGATCCAATTCGTTATTCGTTTAATAAGAAAAAGAGGATTACATTATCATATCACCAACCGTAGGCTCTAGATCTCACCTAAATGATGGGGTTAGGGTCACTTAGGGTTGCTTCTGTCTGATGCCTATTTCAGATGCGATTTCAAAATCAAAGAAGGAACTCCCAATGAGAATCGTGTACCTCAAACCAACAAAACGTTAGAAAACAATTTCTTCCCATCTTTATTTACTGAAATTGTTTTGGAAGCTGGTTCAAATCCCATAGAAATCACCAAACACCCCGGAGAATTTGACACAATGTTGAAAACAGTTCTATATCCCAAAAACTACGATTCAGTCTCAGGCTGGATACCCGATGTTGGCGATGGAAGTGTTTTAAAAGAACCGGTAAGAAATGTTCCAAATGATGCAGATGAAGCTAGAATGAGATCTATTGCGCGAAACACAATAGAAAGAGTAGGACGAGTACTTCAGTACAATATGTCTTTGAGAATAATAGGTGGGGTAATTCAATGATGATAAGATATTTGAGAGAATGGTTCAGATGCAAAATTAGAAATAACGAATCTCCAACTTCACATACCCGTAATAACACCATCAATTGAAGTAGAAACGAGAATATTGAACTCATTAACTAAAGATATTGAAATAGCATTTCTTTGTCGCAATACAATAGGTAGCATAACTTTAACTGGAGAATCCGCAACATGGCCAATCACTATTAAACCAGCAAGATATTTTATGGTTGGTTTCAAGAACTTGCCAGAACTTGACGAATAACAATAATATCTTTAGAGTGGCAATGAACCAAACTCAAGATCCTATAATCCGTAAAAATCAAGTAAGATTAAACAATGATAATTATCCTAACCAACTTTTAACAATTAATCCAACCACAAAGGATTATAATGAATTGTATAGAAACTATAAAAATATGTGTGAATTATTTGGAAATTCACCTCAGTTTGAATATGTAGATTTTGCAATTAATCACCCAATCTTCTGTTTTGATCTATCAGCTTATCAAGAAGATCTTTTCAAAACAGGGGTGAATATAAATATTCATATTGAAAAAACACAAGATATAAAAAAACTTATCAATAGATATAAACATTGTAAAGTCCGTGATGATATAGATTTGGAAAGAATTGATGCGAAAACAAAAGAAGGTGGATTTTTACCTTTCCTACCTTTGATATTTGCTGGTCTGGCCGCGGCAGAAGCCACAGCTGGTGGAGCAGCTGGGATTAACACCAGCCATCAACGCCAAGAAAGCAGCTGAAAAAAGTGAAAAACGTAGATATAATATGGAAATGGAAAAGAATTTGGAAATTGATTTAGTGAAGAAACCAAGAAAACTGTTAAAGAGGGATTAAGTAATCTAATAGATAAAATCCTAACAGGAGAAACGAAGGTCAATCATAAGGGGAATGCTATAGTTTTTAAAAACATACGTTCTGGAGAGGGGATTTTTCTTTCAAAGTATAAAGGAGATGGAGTAATTTTTGGAACAAAAATATAGAATAAAAAATGGGCAAAAAATTTAATCATTCAGAAATATTTCCTAGTAACCCAATGCTTATGTGTATTTGTGGAAGCTCAGGTTCTGGGAAGACTTATTTAACCTTTAACATGTTGACAACACCAAAACCTTTAGATTTCGATTCATTATATATCTACACAACAACACCATAGCAATCATATTATCAATTCCTCAAAGCTTTAAAATATATACTAAAGAAAGACGTTCAAGACATATTTAAATATTATGAAGACAACGATGAGATAGAAATAAAATATATCTAAGATGCATATATACAAGTAAGAATCCATCTTTCAATCCAACAGACATAGAAGTTTTTCTTACGAAAAATGTTAATGATTTAGATTTGTATCAAATTGATAGTGAGCGATAGAACTTAATAGTGTTTGACGACTGTGTAGCACAAAGAAATCAAGCTGTTCAACAAGAATTCTTCACGAGAGGAAGACATCACAGCTGTCACTGTATATACCAATCCCAATCTTTCGACGGTATGGATGCAATGTTCATAAGAAAAAATGCAAATTGTTTTTTATTATTTGAATTGAACGACAAAGATTTATCCACGGAATGGATAGAGATACATTCAAAAAGGATTGTAAAGCAGAATGGAGAAACCCAGATGATCATGGATATATATTCGTTTATACTAGAAAACCTGCGGGTGAAAGAGTTATGACAGATATATGTTAATTTTATTTCTTTAAAAATGGGTGATTGGAATAATCTTATTAAAAGAAACAGACAGTATATCAAAGCTAAGAATAAAATAAAGACTCAAGTTGAAAATAACAAATTACAACAACTTAGATTAACATAAAATCTACAAACTCTATTTCAACCAATATTAAAAAGGTCAAGAAGATATTAAAAAGAGACTCGCGCCTCGTATAGAACCTTCACCTCATAACAATCACCCCGAACCGATTGAATATGGTGGTTTTATAATTAGGACATTAGATGATATAAAACATTATTTTTCAAACCCCGACCAAGATTTACCAAAGAGCATTACACCAATTGTTGATAATGAAGGGTTATTGTTTAATGGATTTAGAATAAGATTTAGTGGAAATTCACCAATATTCAAAATCGATACAAAAGACTTTATATTTACATTAACAGAAGGATTAATATATTTAATGAATGGAGGGGATGTTGATATTGCCGATTACAAGGATTTAGTTGAATACTCAGAATTTCTACATAGGATAAAAACAGACGGGACCCGAAACAAGAAGATTAAAAGAAGTTGATCAATATATAAGAGCTAATATTAATCAAGATGATGAATATGCTGAAGACAATCCAATCACAGAAGAAATAGACGAATGGGATGATATGGTGGCATCTGGACAAGGTATAACGTTTTTATCCGACAACAACGAGGATCTACTTAATAGATTACAAATAATATTAGCAGCAATGAAGGAAGGTCATCGTTAAGACAGACAATATAATGAAGTTAATTGTATATTAAAAAGACTTCTAGAGAAAGGTATCATAGATAAAAATGATTATAAAAGCGTGATTGATAAAATTATCCGAAGCATTCTCTCCAAAGAATATCTTATCATCATTGATTTCTCTTTGTAGATGAATTTTATATGGTAACCCTATGGAAACTTTTCTGTGTTCCAACAGACCGAATAAAGGATATAATTTTCAATTTACGTAATTACCAAACCTATTATTCTCAACAACATTATTGTACTGAAGTACTCGTTTTTCAAATCCATGATTACCTGCTCGTCCTACTCTTTCTATTGTGTTTCGAGCAATAGCTCTCATTCTATCTGCATTTGCATCATTTGGAACATTTCTTACCGGTTCTTTTAAAACTCTTCCACCACCAACATCGGGTATCCATCCTGAGACTGAATCGTAGTTTTTGGGATATAGAACTGTTTTCAACATTGTTTCAAATTCCCCAGGGTGTTTAATGGTTTTTATGGGATTTGAACCAGCTTCCAAAACCATTTCAGTAAATAAATATGGGAAGAAATTGTTTTCTAACGTTGTGTTGGTTTGTGGTACGCGATTCTCATTGGGAGTCTTTGATTTTGAAATCGCATCTGAAATAGGCATCAGACAGAAGCAACCAATTCGATAATGAATTAATCTCGAAAGTGACCCTACCCCCATCATTTAGTTGAGACCTAGAGCCTACGGTTGGTGATGTGATATGATAATGTAATCCTCTTTTTTCTTATTAAACGAATAACGAATAGGATCATATAATTGAAAGATCGGATCTAATCTGTAATTTTTTTCTGCCATTTTTTAAAGATAGGTTTTACCCTATTATTTGAAACCATTTACCCCCATGGAAATGCAGGAAGAATAACAAAAAAACTAAACTAAATTAAAGTAAGTTTTAATAAATACAAGGAAATTTAAAACATAAACAATTACATGTATATTGATATACACTTCTACTAGATATACTTCAGAGTTATCTCCCCTCTTACACTATTGCCAGTCATAGTTCAAGGGTCATGACCGCTGCTACAGAATTGCTAGATATACGTCACATATTTTATCCTTTTCCAAAACGCTTGTTCTTCACCACTTGTTCTATTTTCGAAATCTGTATCAACAATTCTGAAACCTCGGATATTTGTCACAGAGTTTGGTAAAATTTTTGGCCTTTTTGTATCCCCCACTGCCTGCGATGGTTTAAATATTCTTCGTGATATGAAATGTTGGCATCTATTAAACTTGTGTCTGGAATAAAACAAAATTGATATTTTGAAAACAACAAATAATCTTAATTCCACCATCTCGTCTTATTACTAAATCAAACAAAGGACATACCTTGATTTTGTATGAGTAAATTCCTATTCTTCCAGCGTAACAAAATTGAGACAGTGTTTATAGTTGAGTTTAGTCTGTCTATGCCGACGTGGCACGCGTTGTACGTTAATATAACCGTCTGTCACTTAGTCACGCATATCCAGTCAATAATAGTCTGTGTGACTGTTACTAGACGTTAAAGGTATTTATAGTGTGAGTTTTATTCAGTCTATAATAAATCATTAACTAGTAAACTGGTTGATATTTTACTTTGAAGTAAACAAAAAACAGTGTTACCTCCCATTAATCAGTTAAAAAATGTTTGTTTTTTTCTAAATTCTTTGTGTATTTCATCTGTTATTCCCATACCCATTTTTATCTTTGCTTTCAAGAGTTTAATGATTATTGCTCTTTGAATTTTCTCTTTGAAAGTTGAATTTTGAATATTTTCAAGTGCGATTATCATTTGTTTGTCTGCTTCATGTCTGGATGTTATGTCATTATTTCTGTATAGTATATCATGTTTAAGTGCAGCAGCGTCAACTCTATTAACGGGTTCTTCATCGGTTTGGTCTAATCGCAGATCTAACCTTGTACCTGGACCAGTGTAATTATGATCGGGAAGATGTTTTCTCCGGGGTATTTTACCCATGGAAAGCTAGGAAGAGAGCCTAATGATTTTTGAATGTCAGAACCGAAATAAGTTTTAGGAGTTTGAGCAATTATCATTGACATTTTTATCCAATAATTTTTAAAACCATTGCCTTTTTTGTTTTCTTATCTTTTATTTCGCATTTCTCTTATACGCTGTAATTCTTTCAACTCATTAGATCTTTTCACTGCTTCGCTTATATTTACTCCTGCTTTTGCTACAGATCCAAGAGCTTGGGCTTCTGCGAAAATGAGGGATTTGTTGTTTGAGACAAAGTTGGCTACTTTTGGGATGAGAGATAATAGAGCTGAGAAGAAACCATCTTCGAATTTGTGTTGTTCATGTTTTAAAATCAAACTCATTGTGTTTTTAAATGAGTTAATTTGAAGATATTATAGGGCTGGGGGGCTTGGTAAACGAGTAACCTTATGGGCTCCGGGTTTATTAGTCGCGTGCCTGGTGGGCTTGTTTGTTTGGTGGGCTTGGGACGCCGCAGGCAAAGGAGTAGTATATGAGAATATAGATAGGGGACACGTTTTATAATTAAAAAAAAAAATTGCTTTTTGACGTAAGGAAAAAAGTGATTTTTTTTTTAAATTATAAAAGGTGCCCCCTATCTATATACTCATATACTACTTAGTGTGTGAATAAACTTTTTCTATATTTTCTTTTTCTGTATGTTTCGCAACCATTCTAGTAGTTTCATACCATTCTTCTTCAACCATTTCTTTATCGTAATGATACAAATAATACCAACCCTTAAAAGATAAAGCGGCAGCCGTTAGATTATTGGACATATTCTGGTTTACGACTTCTTTCGTGACTTGGTTATATTTCATCAACAAGCTCCAAGATA